GGGTGAGGAACAGCCTGGGCACGTGCTGCCGGAATGCACAGGGGCAGAGAGCCCTGCGGTGCAGGGGACAAGTGGCACAGCTGGGTGCCCTGTCTGTGCATGGTGATGCTGTGAATTAGGATTTCATCTTGAGGAACACAGGGACATTGTAACCAGGTTTCTCCAGACTTCCAGTGATGACCAGGTTTTGTTTTTAATAACATAACTTCAATACATAAAACAAAAGCTTGATATAAGTTTGTGCTTCTAGCCCTTGTAAAGTATAAATCGCCAACAGTGTTACAAATTATGGAGATGCCTGCAAAACTAATACAATTTAGGTTAATAATGTAAAGAAATGCATGTTAATTTAGTGCAAGGTATAATTTAACCGCGTTAAATATACATAACATAAAATTTAACCTTTTCACTGTTTCTTTTTCTTTTTTTCTGACCGGTAAGGGGATCACAACTCTCGGCGCGGTGTTGTAAGCACCACGCTCAGCCAGTGAGTGCACTGGCCATCCCTATATAGGATCCGAACCCGCGGCCTCGGCACTACCAGCGCCGCACTCTCCCTAGTGAGACACAGGGCCGGCCCAACCTTTTCACTGTTTCTAAGTGTACAGTTTGGTGGCATTAAGTACATTCACATTGGCTGTGCAGCCATCACCACCATCCCTCTCCAGCACGTGTTCTTTTGCAGCCCTAGACCCACTAAATGACACACACGATGTTTTGCTAAAACAAAATCATAGCTTCATGTTGTCAGGCAGGTTTGGGGGTTTGGGAGGCCTTGGCTCTGCGCTGTGCCTGTGGTGACTCTGATAGCCCACCATGTTTTTCTGTTCAAGCCACCCCATGAAAACTTCATCCCTGCGTCATTGGCTCAGCCTGATGAGGACCCCATTCATGCAGTGAATTGGCCTCTGTTCCTGGATGACAATTCATGTGGTTGGCATACATGATTCTTGCCACAAGGTTTCAACTTAGTAAATGACTCAAGAAACTAAGGGCTTCTTTGATGAAAATGGCTTTCAATTGCAAGTTTTCTCTGTAAAAGAGAAGTCTTGCCTTTATATTAGCAGATGTGGGGTGACTGGTCACTTTGGCACGAGCACATGCTACCCAGAGTCATGCTCGCCTGCCTGGTTCCAAACGAAATCCACACTGGAACTGTGTGGTTGGACAGCAGTCAGCAGGATGACTCAGAACAGTTATCATGGAAATACAAACACAACATGAAAAAGTACGCACAGAGAGCTCATGGTTTTTGAGATCAGAATCGCAGGTCTGTAGTATGATTGTGCTTCAGGCTGCTGAGGGGGGTGGGCTGGAAGGAGGGGGGATGGGTAACAGCAGAGGCAGGAGATGAGTCGGGGGCACGAGGGGAGGGGCCTGGTGCTCAGTGTTCTCTGGGGGAGGAAAGTGAGCACGGGGGAGGGAGGGACTGAGTCTTGAGCAACTGAGCAACCCCTGACGTCAGGCACAGAACTGGGCACAGGGGGTGGGCAGAATAGGGACCTGAGAATCTATGCCCTGACTTGTCGAAGGGATTTTACAGAATTGGTTAAATAAAGGATGTTGAGATGGGGAGAGGATCCAGCTGGCCCAAGTGTCATCTCCAGGGTGCTTTTAAGAGGGTGCTGGGACAATCAGTCAGACGGGACCGGAAGATGCTGCACTGCTGGACTGAAGATGGACAAGGGGCCATGAGTTAAAGAACGCAGGCAGCCTCTAGAAGCTGCACAAGGCAAGAATCGGATCCTCCTCTGGGTCTCCCAGAAGGAACCAGCCTTGCTGACATCCTGATTTTAGCCCAGTGTGATGTATTTCAGACTTCTGATCTCCAGAATGGTAAGATGCCCGTGGAAGGTTGTCACAGCAGCCATAAGAAACGGATACCAGGTGCCAGGAGACATCTCAAGAAGGCTGCCCCAGGCAGTTGACACCATGGTGCTGGGCCCTCAGAGAAAGATCTGGACCAGAGAGAGACGAGGGAGGCAGGCAGCTGGGACCTGGGACAGCGAAGGCCAGGAAGGGCCGGGGCTCCCTCAGGAGTGAGGTGAGAAGGCGGTGGCTGGGGCTGGGACAGGGTGTGCAGGAGTCTGCGGGGAGGAAAACTAGGGCGAAGAGAGTTCACGGGCAGAACCATCAAAAGAGAGGTGTCAGACACCCCAGACAGGCTGAGCAAGACAGCGCAGAAGCCACAAAGCAGACCCGGCATCCCGCGACCTCAGTGAGTGTGGTTTGTGGGAGTGGGCTTGGCGGTGCCAGCAAGATGCAGCTGATGAGGAGTGCCCCTCTTCTCAGGGGCTGTTGTCCCGGAGAGGGGAGATCAAGAGAGCCCATGTGTGTGAGCGTGGGGTGGGGGTGTCCAGAGAACAGGGCCGGCTGTGGGGAGGAAGGGAGCTCCTTGTAAGGAAAAGCAGAAGGTGAGGCAGCCAGGAAGTCTGCGGGAGCCGACCGTGTCCCAGGACACGCTTCGTCGGATGCCCTGCATAGGCTGCAGGCCCCTGCAAAGCACAGGCATCTGGACTTTCCTTCCCCCTTCTCAGGGGAAGATCAAGAGAGCAAGGTGTGGCCTTAAACTTTAGCTTTCAAGTAAACCCCATAATTTATGTGCACCTTTTTTGAAACACGAATTTTATGATTGCAAAAAAGCAAACATGTTTTTTTTTGGTAAAATTGCCACAAGAAATCCTTGTCCAAAAATTGCAGCAGGTCCCTACTTAGGGTGGGATGTAATTGAACCTGTCACGGTGTGTCTGTCCCAGGAGAGGGTATGAAGATCCAGGACACACTCCCCTGCGAGCAGCAGCTCCAGTCAAAGGCGGGGAAATGCTGTGCACCTGCCCCTCCTCCCTGCCGTGGCTTTGCATCTGCTCACACAGGAGCCAGGCTCGGGTACTCTGTGCAGACCACAGAGAGGCAACAAAATAACCTCCGGACTGACCTCTGAGGTTCTGGGTGAAATTTTGCTGCTGAATTTAAGGCACCCGAGAAGCAAGTCACCCCAGATTTTGGTGAGGAATTAGTATTTATCTAACGGCCTCTTCAGAGGGATGGAGCCACTGAGGCGCAGAGCCAGGACTGGAACCCAGGCCAGCCTGGAAAGCCATGTGCTTCACTGCTCTCTGCAAATATTCCCCACTAAGGAGTCAGGCTGCACCTATTACTGCAGCTGGTGGACAATTTTCAAGAAATGAAAAATGCATAATAGAGAATGCGGAAAATACAGAAAACCTAATAGCCTATCACCCAGAAAACAACCATCATTACCAAACACTTACCACTATTATGTTCCCACTTTTCGTGCCTACATAAGCATTGTGTATACACTTGTGTGTATATTATCCACTTCCCCTTTTGTCTTACGCAGCTGGGAAAAGTCCTGTGCTTCCTAAGGATAGGCTGCTTGTCCCGTCCTGTAGCAGCCTTGGCTTCTGGCACCGTGTCCAGTTACATGGCGGCTTCATGAATGGACTGAGATTGGCTGATTGCATGCATGTTTCTACCTGGCCCCGAGTCCTGCCTTCTGGGGGTGGTTTCTCGTGCAACTTCGCCACATGGCACCATGCCCTTCGGCTTTGCTGCCAGGGGCTGGTCCACCCCCACCCCGTCCTGGGAAGTGGACAGCAGGTGTGTTCAGCAGCAACGATGCAGAGGACTAGAGTCTGGGAATTCAGCTCCGTGCCTTGTTTTGGGAAGGGTCAAGGCACAGGGTGGGTCACGGTGAGGCTGGGTGTGGAGCCTAGGTCTGCTCCTTAATCTGCAGTACAGGAACAGTCCTGGTATGTTAGTGCCCAGGGCAGGAGACCCAGCCCCTGACTGATACAGGAGGACTGAGGGACAGGCCACAGGAGTAACCCGCGGCACATGGGGGATGAAGCCCCGTCCAGTCCTTGCTCCCGGGCGATGGAAAGTTTTAGGTGCAATAATCTTGCATTCTCAAAACCCCTCTCAGAACACCCGGTGTGGTGAAAGGCCAGGGGTTCCTTCCAGGTGTGAGAAGCACAGAGAGGCGGAGAGCATCTCCACATTACAGCAGTTTACGCCATAACCTTCTGCGGGAATGGCAGAAGCTCTGAAATCTGATTCTGTTCAAGAACTATGCATACGCTGCACCCTCTCCCTGCAAAACCTTATTCCCCAAAGCCAAGCTCCTCATATTCACGGATGGTGAGGGACGATGTGTCTGTTCTCTACAGAACAGACCTGACCTGAGGCTTGAGTAGGCAGTGGCTGCTGGGGTGTGGGACATATAGTGCCGAGAAGAGGGGCAGGCCATGCCATTATGGGACTGCAGTTGGCTCAGTTCCTTGGCAGCACCCTAGGGGTGAACTGCTTAGCACTTGTGTTATCGGCTGGGTTTGGGGGGCCAACGGGCAGGGTCACTTCTGTCTCATTGACTGTTGTGGACCCTGCTCCTAGCATGGTGTCCAGCATCAGGAGGTATCTGCTAAAGGCCCATGAGGAGGGGCTTAGTGGGGAAAGTGCTCCCAGTGACCTTGGCTAAGATCTCAGCAATCCAAAGTCAAGGTGGCACAGCATGGCACATGTGGCTTTCCCGAGATCATAGCTGGACAGCTGGGACAAAGAATGGCCACTTGACTCTGGCACCTGTCAGGGGCAGGCAGAGCCCAGTGGTGGCAAAAGCTGCCCTCTAGCAGACCGTGCTTGCTTAGGGTAAACACTCTCCCCGACAGTGTTAGTGAGTGGTTAGAAAATCCAGCCACCCTATTCACAGGGTAGAGCCCATGATAGGCTGTAAGGGAAAGCGAAACTGGCTGTATGGGGACTTTCAAGAATATTTGAATGAATCATCGGCAGGAATGGGAAATTCTCTGTAATATGGAGGTTTCCACTACAAAGGATCTGCTTTAAAAGGATTAACTTAGAAGCAAGAGGGTTGTTTTTTTAAATGATAGGACCTGGCTCCCTTGCCAATTCCGTTATCAGAAAGACAGTGATTTTGATACAAAATAGTAACGAATTGTAGAATCACAGGAATCATAATCCTTTTAAGAACTAACATTTAGAGCACTGACCACCTGCCAATCACTCGTGAGCATATGACAGATATTATCCCAATCTATCCTCATAACCATTATTACCATGCGAGCCTCAAAGAGACTGAAGGTGCTCAGGGGCTGAGAGCTGACCTATGGCTGAGCCAGGCCTCCAACTCCTAGACCACAGTGCTTCTCAACTCTGTTCCCCACGCCCCCTGATCCTGGTGTCCAGGTGTCCCCTGATGATCTCAAAGGAAACAGAACCCTCCCTTATGCCCACCGTGTGGACAGCAGGACATCACAGTGGTTAGAAGAGTGGGCTGCGAGCTGGACGGTGTGGGCTCAAATCCCAGCTCTCCTGTTTCCACGCTCTGCCTCTCCTCCAGCTCCTTAACCTCTGGGCTCGTTTCCTCTCCTGGAGAATAACAGCAACAACCACTAATTTGTACAGATTCCTTCTGTGTGCAGAAATGGCTTCAACTCTCCCTGCAGGAGCTTGTTTAATGGAGACAACAGGATCTTGCACACAGGGCGATGACAAGGACAAATGGAAATATCTGTGCAGTGCCCGAGCCCTGCCTGGCACAGAGGAAACGTCAATGAACGTAGCTTGAATTCAGAAGCAGCTGGTCAGTGGACCAGTGCACACAAGGCGCGACCCTCGGGGGAGAGAGGCAAAGTCCACGCTGTGCAGATGCTCCGGTCCCTGGAGAAGAGCAGTGGGCCTGTCAGGGTGCTTCCAAGGCAGATGCGTCTGACTCCCATGACATCGGGGACACGGTGCCACTCCTGTTCTGGAGGCTCCGGGCCTGGTGGTCCTCCTCCACGAGGTCAGCCACCAGGTTCATGCGGCAGGCCCTGAGCACCCCCACCAAGTGGGCCACTGTTGCGCACTCCTGCTCTGTGTTCTTCCAGATTCTGAGCGACTCCCTCACCCGTTCCGTCAGGTTTCGGGGGTATCTTTCCTCGATGCCATCAATCTTGGCGTCAGAAACTTTAAGCTGACGAGCCAGTCTTCTCCAGTCTTTCCCCACATTATCACATATGATGTCAAATGCTGCACGCAGGTCTGGGGAGGGAAAGAACAAAACGGGACTATTTAGATGACAGGCAACTCCATGCTCCCCACATGGGCTTCTCGGTGCTCACTGGAGGGTTGGTAGACAGAATTGCCTACATGTAAGGCCCTCTGCAGAGGGGCTGTCACAGAAAGCCCAGGAATGGCTCTGATTCTGCCCCAGCAAGCTCCCCTACCCTAAAATACAACCTTAAGAAGTACGGCCCCTTGAAGACTTGATTGCTGGAGTGGGTCACAGTGGAGTTACCTGCTTAGGACAGGGGAAACTGAGGAAGGAGCTGGGGAACTGTCAGAGGGAAGGAAATCAAGGTTGTTCCCACATTTCACCCTAAGTGGGTTGAATGATGGTCCCCATCCCCCCCCAAATATGCCCATGTCAAACTGTGAATGTTAACTTATTTGGAAAAAGTCTTTACACGTGCAGTTAAGTTTATGATCTTGAGGAGAGATCATCCTGGATTATCTGGGAGGGCTGTAAATCCAACAACAGGTATCCTTACAAGACACACACAGGGAAGGCCATGTGACCACAGAGGCAGTTTGAAGTGTTGTGGTCACAAGCCAAGGAACGCCTGGAGCCATGAGAAACTGGAAGAGACAAGGAAGGGTCCTCCCTGGAGCATCCAGAGGCAGCGTGGCCCTGCTGACACCTTGCTTTTCAGATTTCTGGCATTCTGTTTGTTGTAATTTGTTACAGAACAGCAGGAAACTAGCACACATCCCAATTCTTATTTGGATGCTGTCGGACTGACCAACAGTCTTCAGTCCCTGACTACCATGCTTGCTCTTCACCTGCTGAAAAGGCAGTACTGATGTCAGCGAGCTGGCCACTACAGACCATAGAAGGCTGTTTCTGGAATGTAGGGAGAGGAGAAGAGACGAGCAGCAGGACAAGATGCTGCTTGGGGGCTCCTGAAAATTTGAGTCCCTTGCTACAAACCTGAGACGCCATCAGCATGTGTACCAGCTCCTGCAGCGTAACCACCTGTAAGCTGCACACTGTGTTACTATGACTGTATGTGAAGATGAGGAAACTGAGGCACAGGGAGTTAAATCAATCTCCAGAAGTCACACAGCTAGACAGTGGCAGGGCCATAATTTGAAACTCTGACAGTCTTAATAACTGCACGCTAAGCTGCCCTCTGTAAGAGAGATATGGAGTCACTCGTTACCAGCCTGCCCATACCTGTTCTTAACCTTCCAGTTACTTTCCTCCAACAGACAGTAACTACATAACTACAACCAAACACACACAGACATATCTAAAAAGTTATGATATATATACTTTGTGGACTGCCTTTTAAACTTATTTTACCAGTGTTTTTCTCATCATTAAACGTCCTTGAAAACATAATTTTTCCATATCCTGTTTTGTTTGTCCAGCGCCATTTATCTATTTTTAAAGCCTGGATTCGAATGCTTTCAGGCAGAGCCGTGCTGTCTACCTTCTCACCAACAGGCATCAGTCCTGTAGAGCGATACTGTGGTGTCACTTGTCTATGCCCTGTCTGGTTCAGTGACTGAACGGCTGATTTCAGGCCACAGCTTGAAGCCTGTGAGGGTTATCCCCAAAGCAGTCCTAAGCTCCTTCCCCTGGGCTCTGAGAACATGGGGATGAGGCTGAGAAACCCGGCTGTACTCAGGTCTCATTTTTATTCCTGGAAGCCCCTGCAAACCACAGATTAGGGTGGAGAGAGCAGGGTACAGTGACTGATGGCAGGGTAGGAAGCCACTCCGGAATGAACCTGATCAGAGAGGCAGAGAGAGGTGGCTGATACTGCCCACCGTGAGGCCAGACTGCCCTGTTAGTCACTAGCTGTGCATTTGGACAAGCCACCTAATGTCTCTGAGCCACAGTCCTCTCCTCTGTAAAACAGGCCAAATGATAGATATTGATAGTTTCTCACTCACTAGGTTACTGTAAAAATTAAAAGTCAAGTGCTTAGACCATAACTGGCATGCTTTAAGCGCCTGGATAGGGGTTATGGATAGCACGACTGTCAGACAGCTGCGGAGGGCACTAGCTGGGCACACCCCAGAGGCAGAAGGGAAGTGATGCGGGCAGCAGGCTCGCCTGCCCTCTGCCCGCTTCTTTGGCTCTTCCCCGCAGGAGGTTAGCCATGCCCTTTTCTCCAGTGAGTTCTCCCATTTACCCGGAGAGAGTGGGGTGGTGGGGAACACACTGAACTCGGGGGTGGGTGTGCTGGCACTGCAGCCTCGGGTAAGTGAACTTCTCTGAGTGCTGGTTTTCCAGTGTGCAAACTGGGCGTGCCACCGCGTCCCAGGGCTGCGCGGGAAAAACCCGCGCCAACCAGCCGGCGAAGGCCAGGCGCCCGGCA